GTAGTAGTAGTAGTAGTAGTAGTAGTAGTAGTAGTAGTAGTAGTAGTAGTAGTAGTAGTAGTAGTAGTAGAGATAATACAAAGTAGTAGTAGTAATAATAATGGTAACAGTCGCTGCGCAGTAGGAGTAGGAGTAGGAGTAGTAGGATAACTAATAGCAGTAGCAGTAGCAGTAGCAGTAGTAGTAGTAGTAGTAGTAGTAGTAGTAGTAGTAGTAGTAGTCGTAGTAGTAGTAGTAGTAGTAGTAGTAGTAGTAGTAGTAGTAGTAGTAGTAGTAGTAGTAGTAGTAGTAGTAGTAGTCGTAGTCGTAGCCGTAGCCGTCGTAGTCGTAGCGGTAGAGCCATACGAGTAAATAGTCCTACATAGCGCCGCCTTGCGTGGGACGAGGACCTTGCTACTCAACAAAAGAATATATCAACGTCGAATCGCAACTTCCCCGGGGAATTCAAAGTTCGAACTTGCCGCCCCTCTCCCCCGACAAGCTGTGTTGGCCAGAGATCATCAACTCTCAATGGTGAAGGGGGGGATGATTTATTATGGAGAGCATTCGGTTAGGCATCGACTGAAGGCTGCAGGACATGCCACACGCCTTCTGCGCATGCGTTTGTGTTGCACTGACTGCAATCATAATTTCGAAGTTTGTGTCAAAGCAAGGTGTGTAACCTCTGGCCGAGGTGCTCGGGCACGCCAGCGTTTCGGAAGCAGGAAGGCCGTCACTGAGTTGCTGTCGACGCTGCAGCCACGCGGGCCCACTCTTCCCACGTTTTGTCTGCGTTCTGGAAGACTGCTTGGAGGCGAGCGAGGGGGGGAAGGCCTTCTGAGAAGGCCGCGGAGCCTCCCAGAAGTCTTCGCGCCTTCTGATAAGTTGCTGTGTCTTCGGGGAAGGCTTTGGCATCTTCTTAGAAAGTCTGAGGCCTTTCGAACCTTCTGAGAAGGCCCGCCCCTTCTCACTTCGCCCTGGGCGCGCCGCCGTATACCCGTGGGATCTCGCCCCGGAGTCCAGACCGCGAGGACACGTACACGGGCATGCTCGCCGATCGTGGGTTCAATCCCAGGCACAGCCAGCCAGGCCGTTCGGCTCCCAGAGCTCCCGCCCCTTCCCACCCTCAGTCTCGTTTAACCGATCCCAAGCCTCGTCCCCACTTCTATCCCGATCCCCACCACCCCACTATCCTCACCATCCACCCCACCATCTCACTCCCACCACAGGCTCGCCGCCGAAATGTGAGTCTGCCAATGCATCAGCTGGTCTGCTGTGAGGGCCGCTCCTCAAATTTGCGGACCGTGATCCCGTGGCCCTGGCGCTCTCCGCGGGCAGGCCCTCCCCCGGTCCCACCAAAGCTGGGCCCCCGTGTCCCGTCTCGACTGTCCCGAGGGCTGCCCCCAAAGTGTGGTATGCGGTTTGAGTTTGGTCCGTGAGTCCTGGCATGATGGTCCAGACCAAGCTTCCTTTCCTCTTGCTCGTTCCTCCTCTCTCGTCTTTCCCCGACCTGGGCAAGCCATGACCAAGACCCCCTCTCCCCCTCCTCATCCTGCTCCTCTTCCCCTCCTCTTCCCCTCCCTCCCTTCCCCCTCCACCTCCTCCACCTCCTCCTCCTTTTCCTTTTGCTCCTCCTCTTCGTCCTCCTCCTCCTCCTCCTCCTGCTCATTTCCCTCCCGCTCAGACCCCAAGGGGCCAGGACGCCCCTCCGAAGGAGGCGGGCCGAGGCGCCCGCGGGCGCCCGAGCGTGCGTTGGAGGCCGGCCGGTCGGCTGACGCCGTCGCGGCTGCTCGCCGCTGGGAGGGGCGAAGGGCCCGGAGACGGCGGCAGGGGCAGCCGACCGACCTCAGACGCACTGTGGGCACCCTTGGGCGGCCCTGGGTGCTCTTCGGAGGGGGGGAGGGAGGGAAGGAAGGGGATCAGAAGGGAGCGAGAGAGGACGGGGGGGTCGGGGGGGGGGATGCGAAGGAGGAGGAGGAGGAG